TCGTAGCAGTTTGAAATAATAGCCAAATATGTATGTTTTGTGTAAATGTCTGGTTATTTACCCCAAACCAATGCAATTTACTGAATTTACTGCATCCAGTTTCTTCATTCATCCACTGCTTATCAGGGTCACGACTGCAGCTGCCATGGAGCAAGAGGCAGGCTCCACCCACAGCAGGGCGCTAATCTGTCACAGAGCTAACTCATAGGCTGCGTTCACTCTGCAGGTCTTGATGCTCAATTCCGATTTTTTGATCAAATCCGATGTTTTTGTCTGCTCGTTCACACTACAAATAAAATGTGACAGCAAACACGCTCTAGTGTGAACGCTCAGAGCGCCCGCATGCGCAAAAGCAGACGTCACACACAACGCGCTCTGCTTAGACCCAGAGCAACAGTATGTTTGACTGATGGCCTTAATATAAAGACTTCGGACTTCACGTTTCCCAATTTTTGCTTTATTTTGTTATTTACATAATAATGTGAATAACCTAATAATGATCCTTACTGCTGCTTCAGAGGATAGCTGTAGATTTCTGTCAGAATCTGCAGATCAGTACAAAGAAAATGTTCACGTTGTCTTCCCAGCAGTTTCACCGGATGGCCAGGAAGCCTTCACGATGTCTCCTCCGGCGCTGATAATTGGTGTCTGTCTTGTGTCAGTGACGTAAAAAACCTGACCGTAAACCAGCAGTCGCTTTCTAAAACATCGGATATGTATCGGATTCAGCACCACATACGAGAGTGACCCAGATCGGATTTGAAAATATTGGATTTGTGCCGTTCACACTGTCACACCATGATGGGATAGATGGGTCGCAGAGGGTCAAAAACATTTTCGGATTTGAAAAATTGGGATTTGATGCGCTTTCGCCTGCAGTGTGAACGCAGCCTAAGAGACTGAAAGCTCGTTAGACAAAGGTTAAATGTGAGCATAAAAGATATGCGTTACCCGTTAAAGGGGGCGAAGAAACCAGGACTGAGTTTAACGAAGAAACGAGGTAACTTTTTAAAGAGGAAACAGGTTAACTTTATAGAGGCTGTTTCCAAACCAGTGACAAAAGTAAAGTAGGACCTTTTACCAGCAAAAGCTAATTTCATCTTTTTGGAGTTACAGTGTGCGCTGAGGGAAGTCAGTTTTAAACTGGGATTGAAAGAAAATTAAACTGGGATTCTAGTTGAAAAGGGGGTGAAGGACATGGATTTAGGGCAGATCACAGCCTTGTGTAAATGCAAGGTGCTGTCTCACAACGTGATTTATTTGTTTCATTTATTAATTGTGGATAGAAGTAATTATGACAAACTAATGAGGAAACATTGAAAACATACAACCCGTTGAGGGGACAGGTAGGGTTGGGCAATTGAAAGGCTTTGTTTTGTTTAGCAGAATCACTTATGTTATATTCTAGGCTTTTAACATGTAAGTAAATGTAATGGATAAATAAGGGATTAGTTCATTTCTCAGGGGAGAAATGAAAAAGGGGGACTGTTAAGAGATAGATAGATATTTTTAATGCGTATCTGCTCGTTAGATTGTTTTATGAGAGGCCCAGGGCTGGTTCCAGGGCTTGAATGAGACCTAACCAACATTGACACACATTGCACTTGTTGTGTTTCATGTTTGTCCTTTAGTTTGTCACATGTCTGTATATTCTGACATGACAAAGGTCTACCCACACATCTGGAGATTTGCACACAATTCCCCTTCTCCACGTATGTTTCAGCTGTGTCAACATCTCAGCTCTGCTGGGTCATGGTTACTTCAGCAGTGAGAGACGCAGCTCAACACAATGTTTCTCAGAGGCAGGATATTGATAGCACAGATAAGCAGATTATGTATGTGTGAATAGCTAATGCAAAGAGCTGCCCAGTAAGCTATTTTACTGCATTATTATAGTTATCCTAATTAGATGAATATTCACAGAGACAACAAGAGAAGGCATAAACGAAAACAACTTAACACAAGAGACTGCTGCTGTTACACAGTGTTGTGGTTTAAGTTAACAGGCCAGGTCCAAAGAGATCACTGTGACCAGCCAAGTCTCCGGAAAATAGCATCGCTATTCCTCGAAGATGAGATGATGAGATGGCCTTTATTTGTCAGTTGCAGGTCTTTTGCCCACAACCAAGATGACAGACCTCCGACCGTACATACAACACAAACATCACATTGGGGAGACAGGTCAGGCCAGGTAGCGAGGAAAAAAACATTGAAATGTGTAACACAGAAGGATAATCCAGGAATGCACAGATATCAACACACCATAACACAATAAACACAGACAGCAACATGGGAAAGAGTTCCAGTGTGTACATCTGATCTGGGACCGCTGCAATCTTCGACTGCGCCTCCAGCTGACCCGATGTCCACATCATGGGGGAGGTAAGCGTTGGAGGTGGCGTTGGATCCGGGGTAGGGAGGGTGACGCGTCAGTGAGTGCTTATCAGTGTATATGTCTGTGTGTGCGTGTCCAGAGTTCAGCTGAGACAGTGTCCTTCGCCCTGCCAGGCTAAGTAAACAGTCTTCCAGCCAACCCAGGTGGTCTTGCATGGAATGGGAAGGAACAGACTCAACACAGTCGTTTTCAGGGAGTTGTTGTTCGGCTCCAGCCTTGAGCTGGCGCCGAAGGTAATTGAGAATTTCAAGCTGTTTTTTAACACTCGACACTGGTCTCTCAGTCTCCCGTTAATAGCTGCGAGCTTCTCCGTGATGTTATTAGCCGTCGATTCTGTGGTCAGACAGCAAGATCCCTGGGAGGATTCTAAGTGTCGTTAATACGGAAGCTCTTTTCTGGCCTTATTAACCAAACTGCACGTATGAAGCACTATTGATACTAAATTATCCTTTGCAAAGCCGCAGTTCACTGTGATTGGTCAGATGTTGCCAATGCCACGCCCATCACGACTAAGAACCATTAACCAGCTTCGTGTTCCTGACTACTGATGTTAGGGTGAGCCAATCAAATGACAGTAAGAAACCCTGGCTTTGTAGCACAGGCCCAGGTCACATGAACACCGTCTGTACACAAAGGAGAATCCCGTTCACTACTTTGTTACTGTCAAGAGAATTTTCAAATACTTGTAAATCTGATTGTGAGTTTTCCCTAAATCACCGTCTACGGTGTAGGCAACAAAAACTGTTTGCTTTACATTCGCCTTCTTTATCTGTGCTCATGTTCTACATAACTGATTCACAACAGGGGTAATTAGACAGAGGTACAGTTTCTATCAGGTCACTTTTATTGTCACATCACATTACTGGTACACTGGTGCAGCACATGTCAGTGAGATTCTTGTGTGCAAGCTTCACAAACAACAGTGGTGTCCAAAATATAAGAAACATAAAAAATAAATAAATAAAATATAAGAAATATATTTAAAAAAAGCAATGAATGGCATGAATGTATGTACAAATAAAAAGAATGCATGCACATATATACATACACATGTGTATTTGTGTGTATATACATAAGTATAACACAAGAGTGGATCCTGCAGGAAGTGGTGTGAACAGAGTGTGACTGGATGATCCTCCCTGCTTTCCTCAGGCTCACCTCCAGTTATCCTTTTGGAACACAGCACCATATACCAGTGGCGGCTGGCCCATAGGGGGCGCTCGGGCTCCGCCCCCCCAAATGTGGAGGAGTAAAAATATATATTTTTAAAAAATTCATCAATGATAGTTTTACTATGTGTGTGCCCATATACAGCCAGGCGTATTTTAACATTTTCACCAGCTGACTCATTAAAGTTCAACCAACAAATGGTGTTTTTCTTCTTCTGGGGCGCTCGTCAAAGCGCCCTTGATATGCAGCGAAATAGCCTATCATTAAATGGTTGCCAGGGGAAAATAATAAATATTTGACCTATCAGCGTCGCTGAATTAAATGGTTTGGGGGCGCTTAAAATTGCGCCCCTGCAGAAAACGCGCGAAGATTTGCTGTTCTAGAATTTTACCTCAGTCAGTAGCCTAAGTGAGCTATAAGGTCAGAGAGAGACGATGGCAGCGGTATTGTTAACGGTTGAGGCACAGCCTCCCCCAAATTCGGTTAGATCGCTTCTAACCTACCCTTTTGCCAGAAGGACAATGGCAGAAAAACTGCAAGTTAAAGAGTTGGGACCTGACAAGCCCGAAATTCAACTAACCCAGGCAACGAAGGAGAAGTCAAAAGCATACAACAGGACTTTTTGTCGGAGTTGGTTCCAGCGCAAGTCGTGGCTGACAGGCTGTGGAACAGCTAATGCACTTTTTGTTTCCCGTGCATACTGTTCAAAAGTGACAAGTGTGATTTGACGTGGACACAATCTGGACAAACCGACTTAAAGCACCTCTCCGAACGAATCAAGAAACATGAAAGCTCACGAGTTCATATGGACAACAGTGTAAAGCTAGCTGTGCTAGGGAAAACTAGCATAGCGGCGCAGCTAGATGATGGACATCGGATTGCTTTAAGAAGGCACAACGAAGAGGTAGATAAAAACCGTCATATTTTATCTAAAATCATCGATTGTATTAAGTTTTGTGGTGCTTTTGAGCTAGCAATGCGGGGACATGATGAAAGTGATTCCTCAGACAATCCAGGGATTTTTAGAGGTTTAGTCGACTTGATGGCATCAATTGATCACGACTTGAGGCAACACCTTGAAAATGCTACTGTATTTAAAGGCACCTCGAAAACAGTCCAGAACGAGATCCTGGATTGCATGTTGGCAGTTCTGAGAGAAAGGATCGTGGAAGAAGTAAAGGCAGCGAAGTTTTAGCCATTCAAGCTGATGAAACCACTGACATTTCTACACACTGTCAGTTAGTCATGGTGCTAAGATACATTGACCAACGAAACCGTATTCAAGAGCGTTTTTTTGAATTCATCAAGCTACCCAATGCTTGTGCAGATGCAATAGCCAGTGCCTTATCGGAGAGGCTGCGCTTCATCCTCCCCCAGGGACAAGAGAGAAAGTTGATCGCCCAGGCCTACGATGGGGCCGCTGTAATGAGGGTACCACTGGAGGAGTGCAGCGTAAGATACAGGACATTTATGCTAACGCTCACTACGTACATTGTTATGCCCATCAGTTAAACCTGGTAATGCAACAAGCAACCTCCCACATCCCTCAAATCAGTCACTTTTTTTCCGACATAGCAGGATTCGCTTCTTTTTTTACTAAATCGAGCAAGAGGACTGCAGTGCTTGACGAGGTGGTGGCGCACCGACTTCCAAGTGCATCGGCAACCCGTTGGAACTTCAACAGTCGTGCTGTGAATACAGTGTATGAACATAAAGACGATCTGGTGAGGTGTTTTCAGACCATCCGTAACAGTGAAGGATTTGATGCCCCTACAAAGAGAGATGCCGGTGGTTTCGTGAGAATGCTGGAAGACGAAGCTTTCTGTTTTTTCCTGGCCTTGTTTCACAAGATAATGCCACATGTAGACATGCTGTATAACCACCTACAGAAGAGAAACATCGATTCTGTCACCATCGCAGGGATCACCCAGACATTCATCAGCCGCATGCAGGCTATCAGGTAGGCATAAAAGCATAAATATGTAACCTAGAATAAATGTTAATTATCTATGCATAGATTCTATCAAATTCTCTGCATATATTCTGTGTTCTGTGACTTAAATGTTTAATGGAATTCAGATAATTTTGATTTATATCAGCCTTTGAAGTAATTTTATGAAAAATATTTGATTAAGTATATTTGATGAAGTATATTCCCAGTAATGATTTGATGTAGCCTATACCATAGGCTATTTCCTGAAATTATGGCCAGGGCCTTTATTTACTTGCACTGGTTTTCCCCCAGCCATTAAACCAGGTCCGGTTATTAATTAAATCCGGTAATTCCCGGTAATTAGAACACAACCTTTGTTTGGTTTGTGTTTGGTTAATATATCCCTATTCAGTTTTCAGAAGCCATTAATGAAACTTGTGTATTGGATCAGGGAGGCACTTCCTAATCTGGTTGTGGATGAGGAGTACAGGGGACCTGTTCAAGACCCACCCACAAAGAGACGGAGAACATTGGGGGAAGACAGGCAACACCATTTGGCACTGGAGGTAAGCACTAGCTGCTTGGTCTGATTTAAATCGGATCATCAGATAAAATCTAATGACGATGCTGTCAGATGTCATTTGATATAGTGGTCATGACTGTTTTGTTTTGTTATGGACAGATTTTTTTTTTCAGAATAATGATTAACATGAGACATGTGCCAAAGTCTTACCACTGAATCTAACTCTTACCAATTATATATTATTGGATAGGTGTGCGACACCATTATGAGCCATGCCAAGGAGAGGTTTTCTTTCACCAAGCACCTTGTCAGCGCCACTCTGTTGCAAGGAGACTTGTTCCAACAACACAGCAAAAATTTTCCAGATGCAGCACTACAAACCACAGTGGAAGCCTATCCCTCATTGGACAAAGCCAGACTTAAAACAGAACTGTCCCTGATCTACGACAACGAGGAGTTTCAGAGTTGTAGTGGTGCGCTGGCGCTCTATCAGGTTCTGATGGAAAACAACCTTCAAGACACATTCACCGAAACTGTAAGTCTTCTTAACATCCTCATCACCACACCAATGACAACATCAGAATCGGAGAGGTGTTTCTCTACTTTAAAGAGGATAAAAACTTTCCTGAGAAACAATATGGCTCAGGATCGGCTCAACGCTCTGGCTATGCTGTCCATAGAGAAAAAACTCACACAAGAACTTCCTGATTTCAACACCAGGGTCATCGAGAAATTTGCCACTCAGAAAGACAGACGAGCAAAGTTCTTGTACAAATAAGAACCCTTAACCATATTTACTCTCTTTCTCCATCCCTCTCTCTTTCTCTCTTTAGCCCACCCCCCCAATCAGTTTACAGTTGTTGTTTTCAATAGTTATTTTTCATTCATTCAAAAAAAAAAAAAAAAAAATCTGTTCATGTTCATTTTTACAAATCTATACAAATGGCCAGAATATGGTTGTTCATTTTAAATTTAAATTAAAATTGTGTTGTTTGATGTACTCATTAAATGGGTCATTTTAGTCGATATCATAAAAATTGCCCCCCCTGAGATTTTTTTCAGGAGCCGCCACTGCCATATACTAATATTAGTGATGGGACGTTCTGTATCGAGGCTTCGGAGCGTGTGTCGAGTAATGGAGGGGGCGTTTCCACGATGCGCGTATCGAGGCTTGCTTCATTTATGGGAGGAGCTGAAAATGATGACGTCCGAAGCCTCGCTGCCCGGCTGTACCACGTGACTGGTTCATGAAGTGGTTCGAACTTTGCCGCGAGATATGACAGCGATATAAACCCCTCAGACTTCATTCAAAAATGTGGGTGTTTGATGGAGAGCTGCGGTTAGTGAGAGTTTGGAGACCGTTTGGAGGTTTATGAGAGTGAGGAGAGAAAGTCAGGAGAGAATGGAGCCAGCTAAAAAGAGGAGGATGTCCTCCCCTGTGTGGGAACATTTTGATCTTATTCCTCCCAACAAGGCATGTAAATTTCTACAGAAGATGTATTTTCATAATACTGATGGTGCAATACAATTTATGTTGAGCTGTCTTGACTTTTGTACAAGGTGAAGTGTTTGCTATGTGCCAGGGAGCTGGGATATAACAACAACATCCATGCTTAGGCACTACAGAGCTTTGCATGAGAATAAGAGGAACACCGATTGTGGAGCAAGACCAGGTGAGCCATCAAATGCAATGATAATATAGCATGCTGTAATGTTACTAAATGATATAACAATATTATACAACTGTAATAAGTTACGTGTGTGATATTTATATTTGTGCTTTATCTTTATTGTCTTTCCTCAGGAGAACAATCTCCAATAGATGAAGACCTGGTCAGCATGGTGATTGAGGACTCCCAGCCATTTAGCATTGTGGAGGACAAAGGATTCAAAAGATTTGTTAAATCATTAAATCCCAGCTATGTTCTCCCCACTAAAAAGGCCATAAAAGCAGTGAAAATTTAGTTTTTACAGAATAAAATGTGAACAGGCAGGACTGAGGCTCAAAGCCTCAGTGTGTAGCTGTCCATACCTCAACGTTACAAAAGCACAACTACTGTCCACACCCCAACCACACCTCACCTCACAGTAAATGATCATTTCCATTTCAAGCATTTCCAAATAATCATTTCCCATACTGCCACTATAAATATACACAGTATACTGCCATCACTACAATATACATGTTTTACACACTCCTTTTGTTGTTGACATTTACAGGCTGTGTGCAAAATGCCACACTCTTCAAATTCATGCCAGCTATTATTTTTACGTCCAGTAGGTGTCCTGCTAGAGCAAATGAAGCTTCATGAAGCTTCGCGTTGGGGTGAACCAATTGGATGAAAAGCTTCAGTGCTTCATGGGGCTTCATCTGCCCATCACTAACTAATATCATTTTATTAGATTAATACAGCACAAGGTTCCGTTTTGCACAGAAACGTCCTACTTTTTACTTTCTTTGACTATTTTTCACAACCTGCACTTTCAGTTTTACTTGAGTAAAAAAGTTAAATCAATACTTTTACCAGAATGTTTTAATAAGCATGTCACCTCCTACTGAAGTATATAATGTCTCTTTTTGGCCACCTCTAACACACACAGACACACAGGTATCCCACATTAGCCCCAGGCTAAATAACATCAGTGCCAAACACGTATCGGAGGCTTGACAGGCTTCGGTCCAACTATATTTACAGCGCGTTTCCATCCGGCTGGCTTTTCTATTACATTCAGACAGACAGCGAGAAATTTCAGAATTACAGTATCCGAGAAGTAAACACCGCGTCGACAACACAGGCAGCAGCTTATTGAAGTGAAACTCATAACTGACGCTTTCCCATCATTTGTGCAGAGAGCAGGCCCGTCCGCCGGTGTCCGCGTGTCCCCTCCTCCTCCGAAGAGTAGCGACGTCACATTTTGACGTCGTGTTGATTTTGAGCGGAGAAGTAATTTATTTATAAACTGACGCAAGGGCGCTAAATCTAAAATAAACCGTGAATAAAATGTGAAAATACATAAATACTTTTGGTGAAGCAGCTGCACGTATGAACGGTTCGAGAAATTTGACCTTAACACAATAAACTTGCTACGTTAGCGTCAGAGAGCGTTAAATAGAAAGTACAGAGGAAAATGACTTGCTAGCACAGCCGGTCGGGCTACATTTTAGCTAGCTAGCTAGCTAACCGTAGTAAGAGTGTTGTTTTTCTGGCGTTACCCTGCAAATACTGTTAGTGGTAGTTTGTCGTCTTTTATTAACCCTTCCGTTGTTACGTTGTGGACTCATGGACTTACAACTATGTTCAACAGGGTTATGAGAGAACGCTAGCATTAGCTGGCTACCTGGAGGTTGCTCAAGAAACAAGCCACGGCCAGCGATAACTCCGGCTAGCCGGCAGTTTTAGCATTCCTGTTTCCACTTTAGTTAACTTGAGTCTTTTGGGGGTTTTTTCGTGTCGTATGTGTGGCAGAGGTTAACGTTACTCCATAGAATTATGGCGCCTCGCGTACAGCTGGAGAAAGCGGCTTGGCGTTGGGTGGAAACTGTGAAACCAGAAGAAATCAGGCAGGAGCATATAGAGCTAGCATATCGAATCAACCTCCCGGCCTGCAAAAGAGGTGCCTGCAGGTACAGTATCAACATTTCTAAACAATGTTTGTTGTGATAGCGCATGTTAGTGAAAATACCCCATTTGTTGAACTACATTATATTCAGATTAGTTAAAGGCTTAATGGTCGGCTGTTCCCTCGCTTGCGGACAAGCATCAAGTCTGTGGAGCAGTTTTATAGACTGTAGGAAAGCTAATGAAGACCCACTCTCGAATTTGACATTGCACAACTTAGCTCAGCCTAGCACACAGACACTTTGCTAGTGTCTTGTTAAGGTCCGCACTGTTTGCTATGGTTGCGCTACAAAAACCATTATTGGTCTCACCCCGTGGCCCCTACCTGGATACAAATATATCTATATTATTGCTAATATATGTGTAATATATCTATATCGTGGCTAAAGCGCTTCTGGATGGATGCAAACTGCATTTCGTTGCCTTGTACCTGTGACATGTGCAATGACAATAAAGTTGAATTCTATTCTAAATGTGTGGGTGGCTGTGTTTGTCAGCTGTGCGTTGTTTAAGAGCAATGTAGCCAAAGTGTGAACCAGTAAAGTTAATAGTATTCATTTGCTTTTCCAGGAGGAACTGCAAAGGGAATCCCAACTGCCTGGTTGGTATTGGTGAACAGGCATGGCTTGGAGAAATTGATGAAAGTGCTTTTCACAGTATCGATGACCCAAATTCAGAACGTCGAGAAAAGGTACTGCAAATGATTTTCTCACATGGCCTTTTTTTGGCTGCCTTGCTTGATGATTGACAGTCCAAGTCCTGGCCACATGTAGAAACAGTATATGTAAAGATAAGGTTATGTCTCTCTGTCTGTCTCTGCCCCTTTCTAGAACACATTTGTTGGGTTGACCAACCTTGGTGCAACATGTTACGTCAACACATTTCTGCAAGTATGGTTCCACAACCTGGAGCTGCGTAGGAGTCTCTATCAGTGCCAAAATTCAAGAGCAGAGGAACATGACACTGAGTCTGGTATAAGTCAAAACTAAATCCTGGGCTGCTTCTGTGTTTTTATTTGTTTTCCAAGTAAACTCGGCAGGTTTTAGCCAGATTTGGAAAGGTGTTGTTGCTTGTTGTACATATAAATAACATAGTACACACGTCGGTATGCAGTAGTTGGCACTTGTTCTTGTGCTTTCATAGATTCCTACTGATACTGGTGGCTGTAGCTCAGGTGGTAGAGCAGGCAGGTCACCTACTAACTGGAAGGTTGGTGGTTCGATCGATCCCAGTCTGTTCCAGTCTGCATGCCAAATATCCTTGGGCGAGATACTACCCCCATGTTGTTCTCCGATGCGTCCATCAGAGTATTAATGTTGTGCGAACGTTAGTTAGAAAGCACTTAGTAACCTATTAGGGAAAAGTGCTTGTGTGATTGGGTGAATGAACAAGTTGTGTAAAGCACTTTGAGTGCTCAGAGTAGAAAAATGCTGTATAAGAACCAGTCCATTTCCCATACTGGTTCCTACCCAAAGTACAAACACAGGGTTGGTTGTTAGATTCTAAATTGGCCGTGTGTGTGATGCAAAAGTGTCCAGAATCAAGCTGTTTGTGAATGTATGAGTAAATGTAACTTTTCTTGTAAAGCACCTGGGTCTTCTACCAATCCCAGTGTTGGAGGATCAATCCCTGGTCCTGCAGTCCTGGTTTCTCTGGTCTGTGTGGTCTGTATCTCGGTCCTTGGGCGAGATACTGAACCCTGAGTTGCCCCAGTTGCACCTCGCGGTGTGAGTGTGTGACAAAAAGACTGATCATTACATGCACCATCACTTCACGGAACAACCAAAACGGAGGAGAATACAGTCATCTCACTCACATTCAGTCTGATGGATGCATTGGAGAGCAGCTTGGGGTATTTGGCAAGCGCACAGCAAAATTCAAACTTTCTTGTGTGAAATGTGAAAGGCCCAATGCTCTGCTGGACTAGTACTCATTTCTACTGTTTTGAATGTATTTTCAAGTAACTGACATAATTTGCTTAAAGCAAAAGTTGACTTTTTATGTTAGCTACTGTGACAGTGCATATACAGTATACTGTGAAGGCTTATCCTCTGTCTATTTCAGATTACGAGCCCCAGTCCATCTGTGAGCATCTACAGTATCTGTTCGCTCTCCTGCAGAATAGCAACAGAAAGTACATCGACCCTTCAGGGCTAGTGAAAGCACTTGGTCTGGACACAGGACAGCAACAGGTACATTCAGTCCCATTTATCTAT